AAAAAATAAAATCAAAATTTTGGTAATTTTAATAATTTTCATGGTAATAATAACTACACCTAAATTCAACAAGCATATATATATAATGAATTCAATACCGATTGGATGGACTGATAGTATCCAGAATTTTGAATGAGGTTCAACCAGTGTGAACTGGTAGCTACTATTGTATATGCATGACAATGATTACTGTTAATTTTGTTAAAATCACTAAAATTATTAAATTTTTATTTACTTCTTCTGTCCATAAATAATAGATATATATATTTTTTATTTTAGAATTAAGGATTTAGAGACAATTTTTATTTTTACCGATTTTAGTGTAAAAATAAAAAGAAATAAAAAAAAACTTTTTATGATATAATGAATAATTGAAATTGAGAGATAGTTATTAGGTGGAAGTATTTAAAAAATATGTGTTTTCCTTAAAATATATAAAAAACAACAACTACTATTCTAAAATAATTTTTAAATAAAAAATATATATTATTCTGAGACGAAAAAAATAATTTAACTTTTTAAAAAATTGATAATTAATAAAATAATTAATATTTAATATTAAAAAAATTAAAATCAATTTATAAACGGTTATTTTAAAATATCATGACTAACTATTTAAAAAAATTATAAATTAATAAAATTACAAATAAAATTAATAACTTGAAATCAATTGTAACTATTACCTTAGCCTATTATATGGATTGAATACTACAAGAGCTCGTTTTCATTTAGCATGCCTGATACTGACTGGTTGGGTACTACAGTATTCGCTTTGGCGACAACAAAATTTGTAGTTTTCTGTTTCTGATGGTGTATGAAGATATATATTTTTTTCTATTGAATTGTATAATTAAAAATAATGCTCTTTTATTTTTTAATCTAATCAATTTTATATCATGTGATGTAAACTTTTTTTTTTTTATTTTGATTGCACAATGGGAGGCAATTATCTTTCATCTCTTATTTCATCCCACCTGCATATCATGTGACTTAAACTTAAGATCTCTTACTTATAGTGAAAGGAGATAACTACTAAGTTATTTAGGTCGTTGGTATTATATGATTTAAATTTATAATATCTTATTTTTGTTAAAAAAATTATCATTAAATTATCTAAATCAGCACATTTACAAAGATGTTTGTTTCCAATTTAGCCATCACCGATTTTTTGTGGCAGCAAACCTTGTGAAATTGGGGAAGGAAATGAAAACCAAGAGATTTGAACAATAGATAGGATATGCCTTAACTAGTGCTTTTAGAAGGTTTAAATACCATTTTGATCCCTCAATTTTTTATTTTGGCATCAAAATTGTCCATAAACTTTAAAAAAAACCAAAATTATCCTTAAATTTTCATTTTTGGTATCAAAATGGTTTTTTTGTCAGTTAAATGACAAGTAACTCATTAAAATGCCACAAAATCACTAGATTTTTTTATATTAATGACGTGTAAATTTCAGCGAAGAAAATTTGACATTTTTTATTATCATTTCAC